GTCCCTCTGATGTGTTCATTCCTAATCCTGTCCATCCTGGTCCCTCCTAAACAGAACCTCAACATCCTCCTCTCTGCTACCTCCATCTCTGCCTCTTGTCTTTTCCTCACTGCTACAGTCTCTAACCCATACAGCATAGCTGGTCTCACTACTGTCTTGTACACCTTTCCTTTGATTCTTGCTGCCACTCTTCTGTCACACAACACTCCTGACACCTTTCTCCACCCACTCCAACCTGCCTGCACTTGCCTCTTCACCTCTTTCCTACACTCCCCATCACACTGGACTGTTGACCCCAAATACTTAAACTCCTGCACCTTCTTGACCTCAGCCCCCTGTAACCTCACTGTTCTACTTCCCTCCCTCTCGTTCATACACATGTATTCTGTCTTACCACAGCTGACTTTCATTCCTCATCTTTCCAGAGCAGACCTCCACCTTTCCAGGTGTTCCTCCACCTGCTCTCTGCTCTCACTACAGATCACAATGTCATCCACAAACATCATTGTCCACAGAGATTCCTGTCTGACCTCATCTGTCAACCCGTCCATCACCATAGCAAACAAGAAGGGACTCAAAGCCGATCCTTGGTGTAGCCCCACCTCCACCTTGAACTCCTCTGTCTAACCTACAGCACATCTCACTACTGTCGTACTCCTCTCATACATATCCTGAAGTACTCTGACGTACTTCTCTGCCACTCCTGACATCCTCATACAGTACCACAGCTCCTTTTAAATAATTTACATTTGTCCATGGCACATTCCTCTTTTCTAATGTAGGTTCATTTAGTGTAAGTTTACTCTCAGTTGGCTGATGCTGATCGTGTTTGTCTAGGTGATGGTGTTGTTGATTCAGTAACGAGTACTTATCCAAGTGTAACCCTACCTCTCAGGTAAGGTGGCTACGTACAGGGCCAGTAGAAGGCACCGCTCCCCTGTCTCTACTTCAATACACAAATGGCTAAGTGTCGACCAAAATCATTCATGAAAATGTTATTTCGTCAAACACCACCTTCGAATATATGCAAACAACTCAGTTGTTTTGGCAAAGTGAAGTTACTTAGAAATTCTAAGACAACATTGTAATACTTCCTGCTTAATTTCATGGTTAAAACTTGAAACGTGATTTTTGGTTTTACTAATATACATATTTTCAAATTAGATTGTACATGCAGAATACTGCAGTACACAGTGAACCTCCTATTGACTATAACAAAAATGTTAAATCAAAATTGTATTATAATAAAAGTTTAACTATGAAAACACAGGCCCACTTTTCTTAAACGTTACCTTCAGTGCCCACACAGGTGTACTCCGACACACACAGCACACTCAACCTCAACAGGCCACCTGTCTTTTTTGTATTTCACCTACAGAACATCTTTGCTGCTGAAGTCTTCACCATCTTACCAATGTCTCCTACCCTGTGGGATTGGGGTTTGGGGAGCGGAGAGCAGCACGGTGAGGCGGCTCAGACAGATCAGCTGTTCAGCACCTTTATCAAGTCAGTCTCTTTTGGTTGGCTTTTAATTCAAGAGATGTTGACAGAGATGAAAGGACAGCACACTGGTCAGTGCGGTGACTTGCCACAAGACAAATCAACCAAAAACTAGCGACTTCTAGGAGTCTACCACATAGGAAGAGATGTCACCACTTCCTGCTCAGGGGCTGACCCCAGCTCTTCTCCAGTGAAACACAGGTTTTAATGATGTGTCATGCCCCCATGTACAGAAACATGTCAGTGAAATGACCGAGAAACATAAGGAACAGCCAGTTGACAATGAGAGCAGGGTCCAACATAGAGCAGGTCACTGCTGGCCTTCTAGTCGGTCCACCGGCCAACAATGAAGCTGCAACACTCTAAACAGTCTCAGAAACTTTACACATTTTATTACAGTTAAATTATTTGGAGAATAAAAAGTTCTCATGTATGGATCCTTTGCCATCGTTTGGATTCAGTGGGTCAGCGTGTGTTCTGCCTGAGAGGATTTCACTTCTGAATGCAACTGAACCTGTGTTGAGCTGTTGCTTAAGACAAACACAGAACTGAACAGGAAGTTGTGTATATTGGGCTCTGCTGTGGAGAAGCTACGATCAGCAGAGGATTATGCTACAGGAGCGATGTGTACATTTTGATGTGTTTGACTGTAGCTGCCACAAGATACAAACCTTTTCAAACAGGGCAGACGCCCACACTCCCAGACCAGTCAGAAGCAGATCTCCGTATACACACCTGAACCAGAGAAATAAAACATCCAAAATGGCTCCTCTCCATCAGTTGCATAACAATACACAGATCCAAGACCTGCAGCAACACAACTGAACCTACAAGCAGTGGAGTGTGACTGAACAGTGACTGAAGTACATGGACTTTTTCCATTTTATGTAACTTCATGCTTGTACTCAACTAAAGTTCAGAGTATTGCACTTCTGCTTCCACCACATTCACCTGATGCCTTTAGTTAATTAATTTTTTATAACCGTTCCTGTACAGTGATTTTGATGGTTTCTGAGAAACTGAAGTTAATTGTTCCTTTGGAGGTTGAATAAATTCTCACTTGTTATGCCAAATAAATAAATAAAAATCACAAAGCTTAAGACAGGACTGTTAGTCATGATGATCTTAGAGAAGATGCTACACAACAGAACATAAACTACTTAAAAATTGGTTCAATCTTAAACTATTGCAGTAAAATGTAAACACTGATGCTCCAGTAACGTTAATGCAAAAAACACTGATGGGGCCATTTCTCTGCAGAATGAGTGCTTTAATTTTTTGATACTTTAAGAACATTTTGCTGATAATACTTTTGTACTTGTACCTATTCTACTTATAGGAGTATTTGCACAGTGTAGTATTGCTACTTGTACTTATAGCATCCAAGCACTTCTTCCACCACTGCCTTCAAGACAGACTGAGCATCAGTGACTGTGTGTACTAGGGAGGTCACAGCTGTCAATCAAAACACAGACGGCGCAGCCCTGGTCGCTACGCCTCTCACATCGAGGCTTCAAGCCAGTCTTAGCTGCTGGAAGACGTCGTTGTGGCTCACAAGACTAGCAGGCTCCTGATTAGCTGTGTACAAGAGAAGGGCAGGGTGGAAGGAAACGGAGCAGGGAGAGGGAGGCAGGGAGGAGCAGAGCGCTTTGCTTTTTGGTCTCACATCAGCATTTCCTTGATTTCCAGAACTTACATACTGTAGCTTTAAAATCTCAGAGCCATGCCTTCAAAAAAAGTTCAGGGTAGAGAAGAAACCTGATCGCTGATCTGCTGCATGTAAACGTGGGTTTACAGTAGCCAGGTTACTACAGTGCACGCCAATGCACTGATACGGACATGACAAGGATAGAAACGGAGCAGAAAAGTGACGAGCACTGCTGCAGGCAGAGACTGTGGAGGACTCCTTTAAAAAAAACAAAAAAAACCAAATGCTTAAAGGCTAAATTTAGGAGCAGTGAATTTGACTAAACGCAGGATGGTGGTGGCAACTTGCTGAAATGTTGATAACCTCATTATTTAAAGAAAATGACCCAGTGAACATGGTGGACTTCTTGTCCAAACACTTGCCATTAAAACGTCAGACAACAGTCATGTGACTCTCTCCCGATGAGTGGCACCACAGGGCTCAGAGCACACACCAGGCCTTCAGTGAAAACACTCATATGGCCCAAGCACACAAACAGAAACAGATGCAGTGGGTGTTGTTGGAATACATGTGGTTCAGAGGAGGTCGTCTGGTCTTAAACTGATTTTGGAGGCTGGTAGAAAATAGCAGCCCAGCTGCCCGATGCCATCCCGGCTGCTGTCCAGGAGCTACAGCCTCTCAGCCAGGCGCTGGGTTTCCCTCTGGAGGGCAGCCGTCATAGCAGATGCCACACCGCCCCAGGTCTGACCTGCTTTAGTGCTATAAGTCTGTTACATCCAGCATCCAGTTCCTGGGCCTAGTTGACTCGGATGCCTGAGATGAAGGGTAGCCCAGTAGAAACCTTCTTCTTATACTCCACATAGTCCTCAGCGAAGAAATGGATGAGAGAGAGCTCCTCCTCCTCAATCCGCTCCCGGAAGAAGCGCCAGCTGGCTATCGTGTATCCCAGTATACACACTGGGTTACACAGCATGACCTGCAACAGTCGGCAGTGACAGTCAACTCACATTTGACAGAAACACAAGCCACTGCTATTAAAATGTAGCACGTGTGTTTTCACGTGGCCACATTTAGATTCATAAACATCACTACGACAGAAGGAAGTGGGCACAAGGCCGAGAGGTGCTGGTGCAGCTCACCTGTGTTCCTATGCTCCAGTAGAACCAGCCCACATAGGAGGGATGTCTGAAGTAGGAGTAGACCCCGCTGGTGACCAGCACGTGGCTCCGGGCCTTCTCATTCTGGACAATGTGGTTGAAGTTGGAGCCAGCTGTCAACATAGCCGCCTTTCGCAGACCCTCACCGCACAGCACCATGAGCAGACCCACAAAGCTCAACCAGTTCAGCTGCTTCAGCTCTGACAGAGAGGAGTGGGTGATAAAACACTGACACATGAAAGGTCTCGTAATGTGCAGGGCCACAGGATTCTACACACCTCATCCTGGTGTGTCCAGATGAAGGTGGTGTAGAATCTGTGATGGACCTCTACCCTCCGACTCTGAAATCCTTCACTCAGTAACAGGAGCCGAGATTGAAATACAGTGCAACAAAGTCTAGTTTCAAAAACTGACCGATCCATAGGTCAGCAACATTCTGAACAAACCAGGAAAGAGTTTCAGCTGAAGGTTTGTACCTCTGCTTTTCTAGTTTTCCTAAACATGGTTTCAACAACAAAAGGTGTTCACACACCTCAAAAAACATCTGTACATGGGCACCTGCTGAAAACACTTGTCTGGGCACACTAATTACAACTAATATACCAGGTTTATGTCTGGTCAAAGTAACTACTTTGCTAATGTACTCTGTGCACACCACCTTTATATCAGACTATATGCATGAATGCTGCCTGGTGCACAGAAAATATATCACCCTTTCCCCTGCTGATATAGTGGAAGAGTGACAGGGAAACCTTTTGTGTACCATCAACACAATGACAGTCATGAGTGGAATGAGTGCAGTGACAATGAGACCAATGTCAGACCAACCTGGAACTGTCAGCTTCTCCACAGTGAACTCCACCCATGAGGAGACAGCAGCCAGGGTGTACTCCACACTTGCGAGGGTTGATGATGGCTGTCACCAGGTACTCAGAGTAATGGAAGAAGGACAGGGAGCACATGTACCTGCACAGAGGCACCATTACATGTTCAACTGCCACAGGCCTGGGTTACAACACCCTGCTGTCAAAAGATGGCACATGCCCTGGTTTACTGCGTCTCTGAAGAGACGTTTAATAAGAAATTATCAGAAGTTCTATGTCAAATTCAGTGATGTAAAACAATACAAAATACACCAAGCACAATGCCATTGAAAAGATCAAACGGACCACACTGCATGACAAGTCACACCTGAATAAATCTACATACCAGCCAAAATGTGTCCAAGAGGTTTCAGAGCAGCTTACAATTAAGCCACAGCCAAAAGTAACTCCCAGGAAACAGGCTCGCACAGCAACCTGGGATGGGTTAGAACACTCAGGTGAACCACAGCTGGTGTTACCTACACAAGCAAAACCCATTTTCTACCCCCCAAACCAGCTGGATACTTCGGCTAAGTGGCGTGTTTCAGCAAGTAACTGCAATAAGAGAGAGCTCACAAAACTTAATTCTAAAAATCTGGTTTTAAGTAGATGTTACCTTTTGATGAAACGCATAGGAGGCATTATATGGAAGGAGATATTTTTACCAAGCAACAAAGGACAAAGGCTGCAAACAAAATGTTTAACCCCGTTTTAGCCAATATACCTTTCAGCATATTTACTGAATACGCCGAATTTGTACCAAGAACCTTGTTATTCGTCAAAAACCCAAACTGGTGCTATACAAGTAAGTTTCCCTTGACACAACCCAAACCAACACCAATTACCAGATTTCTGGATTGGGTTCCGTCACCTTACGGACGTGTCGAGATATTTATTACGTTACAATAAAACTAACCATACGAAGTGGCAAGTAGTGCGTAAGACACTGCAGCTTTACCTGGCTTCTATTTCTACCTTGAGCATATCAAGTCCAGATTTTTCTTTCTTCTTTAGCTAATAGGATTAACTAATTGGGCAGCTAATGTTAGCTAGCTAGGTGATTAAGTTAGCAGTGCAACATTAAAGTTTAAAAGGAGAAGTAAGTTATGTCAGACTACACAACAGCAGTTTGACGTTGATGAAACACTTTATTGCTGGAAATAACTGAAGGCCATGTGTACTTTAATGGTCAAAACTATATAAAATGAAAACCAAACGAAGAAGTTGGCCAACTCACCTAACGCCAATGCTTACCTTGTACAAAGGTCCCCTGTATATGATTAGCAAGAGGCCGTTGACAACTGCAATGTTGATACAAATCGCTATTTTCCCGGGAGTTTCCGTCAGATAATCAAAGACCCAGTCAAAATGTCCACACCAGGTTCTGATTAACGGAATTACAACTACGCTGAGACCTAAAATAAAGCATTTTATACTTACACTTCCTTCTAGCACCAACTTACTGCCTGCCATGTTGGAAGTACAGTGCTAAACGAACTCTCGCGATATTTAAGGGGCAACCTCGGGATGTCCATCTATTTTGACAGCAACAGACAAAAAAAAAAAGTCTATTTACGTTTGTATAGATTATTTTGGGAAAAAGTCCATGGGCACAAGGTGAAATCGTAAAATCATGATTTTAGTTACTTTATCAAAAGCTCACCGAGCTTTCAACAAGTCAATGATTGCCACCTTAAAATGTAATCACAAGATGGGGCCATAATACCTAAACACAGATAGCAATACAGTGGACAGATGGCAGAATGAGCTACTTGTTTTGTTTTTTTTTACTTCTAACCACAATCAGAGAGGCAGGAGTGAGCTGCCCTACAGACATCACTCTCCCCAGAATGTACTAGCCTTTGGATCTAATGCAAACTAGTGAAGACATGAGAAGAGGGTCCTCATCTTCATATAAACAGGCTGTTATGGAGCCAATACAGCTGCTGGAGTTACAAAAGAAACCTGAGATACATGTAATTATATCAGTTTAATTAAATATTTAAAAAAATCATTTCTTTACATTGCATTTTCACTTTCATGACATTAAGAGACCCACGGCAGAGCAGACAGTGTGCTTTATTTACAGTCACATTAAAAAGCCTTAACAGCTGCTGTCCCAAAACACATCTTAAATTATGATCTACTCTGGTTGACCATCACCATCCAGGATGGAGGAAAAACACAGCATTGTAGTGTCTGTACTGTTGTCGGGAGTTACAGATGTCACTTTGGCGGGCTTAGTTGACTCAAACACTGGTTTATTAACTCAGCCTGCAGAGTTCATCCCAGCCACAGTGCTCCAGAACAGGGTTTGTCCTGTTTATGGTTCTGTCAGCAGTAAATACATTCATCATGTTCCTGTAACTCAGACTCTACTTTCTTTGGCTGCTTGAGAAAAAACTGGAAATCTTGCTTTGTGTCCTCAAAGGAGACAACGAAGAAGCTGAAAAAGATGAGCAAAAGGAGCAGTAAGGTGTCAGGACAGAACTTTTTGTTCTGGAAATACTCATGTTCCTACAAGGCTTGTTCCAGAAATGCTTGGTCTATATAAGGATGATGACTATGAGCTCTTCTCCAACACCACAGGAAGATACAACATTTACAGTGCAATAGGCAAGAAATACAAACTCTGTATTGCTTTATATTACTTTGGGCTGTCCCTCACCCTGTTTTTGTTGGTCTCCACTCACAGCAGGAACATCTGCAGCAGATACTGACCGACCTATCAAAGCATCCAGCATCTCTTTGTACTGCTTCTTATGGTGAGGGCGAATAAACACGCTGAATCCTTCAGAAAAGACATGTAAACAGTGAGAACCGTGGACAAGAAGAGTGTAAACACGTATAGCTATGTGACAGAACTTACTGACTAGAAGATTGAAGTCTTCATCTCTCTCTGTGAGTAAGCTCACCACTGTCGCCACCAAGTTTTCATAGTTTTCTGTCTGTTTGTAGCTGTAAATGGCCTGAAAGAACTGGGTGGATTTTTCTGCTCCAAGGGCTTTTTTCACATCAGCCATAAAGGTAGCGCGGAGCTCATTCTTTGGATCAGAACCTGAGTAGCACAGGAAGAGGGCTGGAATTTATATCCTGCTTACTGTCCATCCATTTAATATGCAATACACATCTGGCATCTGGCCAGGTACATATCTAGGTTAGTCTTGAAGTGAAATACAATCAAATTCACGAGTTCATAAAAAAAATAAAATCTGCTATTGTGTTAACGCTGGGTGACATCCAGGCAACATGCCTGTGCTGCATGAGAAGACCCAACCCTGCATCTGTATCTGTAGTCTGGACTACAAAGAACACAAAAATCAGTCGCCTGCAGGTTTTTGGAGTTGGACACAAATATTAAACACATTAGAACAAAATATTGTGTTGGTCCAGGAGGTAGAAACAGCACTTTAGATTCTTTATATTCAAATTCTCCTTTAAATCATTTTCATTTCTATGCTGATACATCCATCCTGAGAATATTATTATATTGCTTCCAGTTTTACACCACGATTGCTTGTTAGTTGATCACGCGCACTCTCTTTCTACTGGGTCAGTTGCATTTTGGACTGGGACCAACTGGGCCGACCCCTGAGGACCTCTAGACGGCACCTATCCGCGTTCGGATTACATTAAGGAGTCACTGAAGCGTGCACAGCCTCAGAGGCTAATGTAATGGCAATGTCCTACCAGTCTGAGGCTCTCTTAACCCTTGCTGGTTTAGGTGGTCTCCTCCTCTGTTGAGCTGCTGTGTGTTCAGCTGACCACAGGAAGACGTCCCACAGGAGGTCAGGGGCTCAGCAGGCTGGCTGCCTGTAGCTGTGGAAAAACCAAATCTGCCTTTAAGAGCAGGTCTCTGTCTCCCAAAGAACACGAACCCTCTTAAACAAATGGTTATATCAGTTAACAAAAGCCTGCGGCTGGAAAACGTGTTGAGCTGAAGTGTTTTATTGATTTAAGTGCCAGTTTTTCCTTCTAAGTTACAGAATCTTGGTGTAAGGCCGCATGAGGAGTGGAGAGGCCTGAATAGTCAGACATCCCTCCTATGTGGGCTGGGGAATAGTCAACTGAGGTGCAATACTCAAATCCTGGGGTAAAATGCATGGTTAATATGCACATATGTAAATTCTGTTCTTGATTATTCAAATACTTGATTCTGTCTATTTTTGAGTACTTGGAATTTATTTATCAGGATGTGTGTGTGGTGTTTGTTCTCATGGTGTTATGTTGTTTGTTCTCCATTGCTGCTGAAACACTGACATTTCCCAATTGAGGGATCAATAAAGTACCTACCTACCATTAGTGTTTCAATCACTGCAACTCAACTGTCAAATCTCAGTCTCATCATTGTCGACATCATCTCGTATAAATGATCGCTGAAGCTCTAACTGCATTAATCATCTCCAGTTTCCCTCCAGAGGATTTTCTGCCCTTCTATTCCAAATCATTGTAAATGGAATATGAGCATTATAATTTAATATCTTGGGGTTGTCAGACAAGCTATGTCGCCCTGGACTTGACAGAACAAAAACCATTTTCCACGCATAAAATAGAATTCAATAAATAGAAAAAATAGTTCCTAAAAACATTCTAAGTTTGATTTTGCCAGAGGGCAGGGTTGGTTTCATACCATTCTGCAGCAGCAGTGCTTTCCTCTCGTCCTTCGACAGCGAGTGATCCGGTTTGTATCCACAGCCTTGCCCCGTCAGGGCCAGGCACTTCTCCTCGAAGGTCTTTTTGTGATGTGGCCGAACAAACTGGTAGAAGCCTGAGACACAGTGGCTGCGTTAGGATCCACTGGTGACAAACTTAATATGGAAAGACAAACACACTGGATGCTCAGGCAAAAACTACGTGCACTGAACTGTACTTGATGTTCATGTGGTTTCAGTCTGTTACAATTGTGCAGGTGCATAAGAGAAGATTTGTTTTACTTCATCACAGCACACGACCTACCGCGCAGCAGACTGTGAGTATTAGTGTCTTCGGTCAGGACAGCCGTCTCAGTCAGCAGCACATCCAGGTTGTCCGTCTTCTTGTAGGTCTGCAGAGCCCGTATGATGCGGTCAAAGTTGACCTCGCTCAGCGACTTCTTCATCTCTGCCAGAAACGTTTTAGCCCTGTTGGCTTTGCCTTCCTCGGTCACATCCTCCGACACGCTCACTCTCTTCAACAGCAACAGAGAAAAACACAGTGCTCACACCTGTAATGGCAAACGTTTGGAAAAACGCTTACAGAGATTTTTAGAGAAGCACCCATAAACTGGAGCTCCACTTGCAGCACAGTTCCAGTGGGGACTATGACCGCAGCAGCAGCAGCAGCAGCAGCTGAGAGGCTAAGCACTCTGTTTCTAGTGGTGTAAAAAACCTGAAAACCTCAAAGACCAGAAGTGTAACATGCACCTGTTCTTGGACCAGTTTGATTTTACGTTTTCCTCCACGCAGTTCATCAACCATCCTCTTGTCATATTGCAGAGACAGCGTGGACAGATGATGTGCCTTCAAAAGAAAATCACACAACTGAACAAATACATTTTGTCCTCTTGGTACTTTTCAGACCTCAGCAAACTGACAGACTCTCACAGAGATGCTCTTTCTGTCTTGGCTTGTAGGACAGGCTAAGGTTTCTCTACCTTGTCCTCTCCAGCAGCATCGTCCTCCTCCCCTGTGCGATGGTCACCCTGCTCCAGAGCATCCAGCAGGCTGACCGGTCTCCTCCGACTCTCCGGCACCTCACACTCGTACTCAGTACAGAGCCTAGCCATCCCATTGGCTCCAGTGTGTTCATCTGTTTACAAAGACAATAGGAAACACAACAGTCTTCTTCTGCAAAATGTGTCAGGAAACCCCACCTTTATATTCCAACTTACTGAGCCTCCTCCTCTTCAGGCTGGGGAGGTGGGCATCCAGCACCTTGGCCTTCTGGGTGTGGGAGCTCTGGGTGAAGGCGCAGGAAGTGAAGCCAGAGGACTGAGTGTCTGGTAAACTCACAGCACCACAGCTCTCTGCTGCAGCTTTCTTCTCTACCACAGGCCTCTGGTACATTCAGGCACAACCACAAAGAGTCAGTGCAAGTTGCATTCACACTGGCCCTGGTGCAGTGAGTCTGAGTCACAGCTTACATGTTGACAATTCTCCACCTCTGAAAAGCAGCTGCTGCTAATGGCACCAATTTAATGTACATGAGCAACCAGGAAGGTTGTGTTGGAGATAAAATCCTCTAACCTTATTCTACAGACATCTCAAAAGGACAGACACACTAGTTTCACCACAGAATATCCAGAGAGCTACACTGTATCAGTTACCTAAAAAATGCATTAGAAGAGGTGCACTAAATCCATCTGTTAGTCTTGACCAGCTGACCCAAATTACACCAGCATAAGGAGCTGGCCAAATCAAAGAAACACAAGGAGTCATGGTGGTTTTGTGAACAGTGTGCCTCCTAGAACCTACCATTTTCTGTGCAACCCTGAAGAACTGAGAGACATCACGGACCACGTTCCCAAATCCGTCGTACAGCCGAACACAAGGTCGAATCCACAATGGAAGCTGGGCCCGGGCATCAGAGCTTTTAAACCTGTGGGAAAAGTCACATGATGTATCTTCTGTGGCTCTGGAGGAGCAGTTCAAAGTCTCAGCTTAGTGCTGGAACGCTGTAGGATTTTAGTAGTAGTAGAAAACCTCCTTTGTTACATATTGGGGGAGTTTGAGAGAAGTGGGCACTGAAAGCTGCTACCCAGGTGCATTATGGGAAATGTAGGATGCAGTACTTTGTCCTGCTTGAGCTTTATTCTACAGACACAGGGATTTCTCACTGGAGTGTCCTGTAACAGTGGTGTTTAAGTTTGTGAGGAGGAATGTGTTTCTGCTCCATTTCTCTTAAACCTTAAATCTGTTTATATGAGCGCTCGTTGCATAAGGCCCAAAGTTTGGTGAAGTGTTTCATAGTCAAGTAGAGATATGCTGCGTTACTGATGACTGACCTCTGATCACACAGGAAGATGGCTCCATAGTCGCCCTTGTGGCGAATGACCCTACCGATGGCCTGGTTCACCGCTCTGAAAGCCTGCTGTCGGTACCACTCCTGCCCAGACAGATACTGTCCACACACACAGGAGGAAGACAGAGGCAAAGATGACAACAACCGCAAGACCACACTTAACCGACGGCACACTTTTCAGAAAACTCACCTTTAGTCCAGGAACCTTCTTACAGGTCATCTCATCCAAGAACTTCATCTTCAGCATGACTCGAGCATCCATCTTTGGAGGGAAGGGAAGGCCGGTGATGATGACACCCCGACCAAAGGTGTCTGCAAAATCCAGGCCCTCGCTGGCCTGACACAGGGAGACACTTACTGAGACGCTGTGAGAGGGAAGCGTTTGTGTAACCTCACGTGCTACAGGACAAATGACTCCATGTTAATACAGCCACATCTGTGACTCCTGTAATAATCATATTACATTTAAACCTTAAGTGACTGAACTGTGTCATTCACACCTTTTTGTTAAATTAAGAGACTAGCTAAGGAGCTTACAGCTTGCAAAACCACAGTGTTGACTCTGGACGAGCTGTGGACTCGGAGGAATGCTTAAAGGTCGGTGACATGAACAAGGAAACGACGGACAGAAACGCAGAGCTCAGTGTGCAGCTGTTAAATAATTTAATAACCAAATACTCACAGCCCTGCAAATGCTCCCGGACATTAATGCTCAAATGATTATATGTTCATAAGCAAAGTCTGGTGGGAAGTATTTTATTCTTCTGTTTCACATGTGGTATGGAGATCTGAATGTTAGGGATAAACTGAAATGGCAGAGAACATAGCTGGTAACATGGCAGGAAAGATTAAAGGCTTCCAGATCATAAATGATCTGACGCTTCACACTTTGAAATTTTACCTTTAGTGAAAAGTAAAATAGACAAAAGCCACTTGTCCAGTGTAAACAGGATAGTGAATGCACAGCCTACTTTAGTCTAGGTCTTCTGCCTATTTTATTTTACCGTTTTTATTTCACTGCATTCATGTTTTTTTTACATTGCTATGATACCGATACGGTGTCTTTGTCCTATGTTGTTTTGATGCTTTTCAGTGAAGCCAAAAGTGGACAAGTGTGTTGTCAACTATAACCAATTGTTGGGTGTCTTTTTTATACATCTTTCATATTGGTCATCCTGTTTTCTGAGATCTAAGTGAGAAAAGTTACTGGGGTGAAGTTCAGGCTGTGCAGTGAAATCTAGATATAATAAACATGCACAATATATTTCATGGCAATATGCTCCAGTTGTCTAAAACGCAACCATTTTAGAGGCCGAGCTGTCAAAGTAAAGCAGCATCTTCTTGAAACATTGTAGGATTTTTCCTGACTCGGTGGACACAGAAACCTCACCTTCCCCCGACACACAGCAAAGAAAGATCCCCCTTTGGACGCTGCATCGTTGACTTTGTTGTAGTATCCGTCAATAACCTCAGAACAGAGACAAGATTTACTGTTGCTATTGGTGTTAACACTGACAGGTCCTTTAGGTAAACGGTCTAAAGGGCTTCACAGTGAGGCAGACATATTTAATAAAACCACAGTCACCTCAGTAAAGGTGCCCTTTCCTTTAGGTTCAACAAACATGGGCTTTATGTTCTCAATGCGATCTGCGTGTCCGTGAGCCTGGTGAGAGAACACACACCCACACTGAGCAGCTGATTCTGCATTCAATTCAAAAATCATTTTTAACTTCCAATATAAATAAACCAACATAAATACAATATAATATAGTAACAAGTTACCCTCCAGAACTCCAGGGTTTTTTCCATTAAAGGGAAGGAGGGAAAAAACACTAAGAGACCATGAGGAACCACACGGCTCAGGTTGGCTGAGGAGAAGAACGCAGCAAGTGACACTCGAGTGATGATCACAACAGAAATGATGAGAAGTATTGTATTTATTTACCTATAAAAAAATGACAGCGCTGCTGTCAACTAGAAAAACCTTTGTACACAACACGTCAAAGCGCCTGAGCTTACCTACAGTGTTGCCTAAAGACGCCATGTTTTCAGGAACAAACCTGCCACAGAAGGAGAGATTTTATGTGCATCATCACAACAAGACGCTGTTGGAAATAAAGCCAGTGCAGAGTGAGAAACTGCTCTACCTGCTCCAGCTGTGTGTGAGGTAGGAATGTAATAAAATTAATTTAACACGTGACATATGGTTGGAATGAAAGGAGTTAGTTATTTCTATGTAAAAGACAGGTGTTACTTTAATGGGGGCTTGGTTGAAACACTACATTTTGTTGCACTTGTGCAATGACAGAAGTATTCATTCAACCTAGAAAGCCCAGCAAAACAAATTAAAAGAAGGGAACAAAGTTGTCTTGCTGCCTTTCAGTGCAAACATTATGACAAAACACTGTCAAACATTGTCCAATCAATGAGCCAGCTGTGAGTCACCTGACTTTGCTTGTATTTGGATCATCACAACACAGTTCATATGAAGAAACTGTGGAAAATGTTGAACAGAGAGAGTGAACAGAGCACGAACCTTCTGTCAAACGCTGAACTTAGCTGCACTCCGTCTGGGCCTCGATCAATGACGCTAACAAAGATTTGGTCCCGTTCAATCACGTGGCCGTTCTCCAGACGCACTGGGAATTCTCTACACCGGCAGCAACAACACAAACACACTGGGATCGACATCTAGGTTTACCATCTGTTGTTACAGCAACAAATATAATGACTAGTGTCTGGCTAACAGTAATAATAACAATGCTAAAATCAGTTCAGTTGTTCTTTGTCAGAAAGGTTTTAGCATTTTGTCGTCGTATTTTGTCAGAGAAGCTTCTAGATTTTATTAGTTCAGTGGGAAGTAAAGGAGAAAACCATTCTGTGTGCAGTGTCATCCTGCGCTCTAACACACACTGGAACATCACTGATCGCAGCTCGACACCTCACATAGTCATGGGGCTCTTTGTTTTACAGAGATGTTTAACATCTGACTTCATGTACTGTAGCTGTTTACTTCTGTCACAGTTCAGGACACGTCACTGACACAAACTATTAACGTTTCCCAATACAACACCGACCGTGGGCCATTTATTCTGGCTTAGTTTGCTGATTTCTGACATTGACTTGAAGCTCCGCGCTGTCAAATTCTATTTTTATTCTTATTTGACATATTGGGGAACAAAACTTTCCCACAAACAAAGCAGAACAGGCAACATTACTGGCAGTGGTTAGCAGTGTTGATTATGTTAGGAACGTGCACCTCCTCACGAACAGGTGGCGTTTTGTCGTCTGAAACAAGACATCTATGACGGGTTCAAGCAGCAGTAATAAATCCGACTTAGAACACTTGTATGAACAAGAAGAAAGTCAGAAATTACAGATACGAATCCAAAAACAGGCCCTCTGACTTTTCATGCTGATCTGGGCTGCACACCCTTCAAGATATAAACAACCGAAGTGTGGGAGGTTTTGTGAGATTCTTCCTGACAGCCACAGAAGGTGGAATCCAGAACCACAGAACCACTGTCACACTGATATCCCTTGTTTAAAATGGTGAAAAGATAATGAGAGTACGTGACTGTAGTAGCAAGCATCTGGGACAAATCTAACACTCAGGTTTAAAGTTGCTGTCTAATTAAGAAAAGTAATCATGCACCTCTGTGGGGATGAGCTGTGAGAAGCAGCAGGAAACTTACATCCTCATCTCAGAGGTGAAGGAGGACAGAGGAGACAAGGTACCACTGGTCAGAATGATGCAGTGGACGTTTTGATTCACCAGATCCTGCATGCTGAAGGCAGGAGAGAAGCACCAGTAACTCAGGATGTTACCTACAGGGTGCAAATATACACAAACTGTCAGTTTACTCAGAGAACTGGCAGCCAGCGAGAGAAACGGCTGAGCAAGCATACTTTCAACAGGGTTCGTCTTCTGGCTCTGATATCCATAGAGATAATTTCAGTGTTGGAGTAGCACTCTTTACCGCTTCACCAACTTCCTGTCATACACAACTGGGAAAAGTAACACCACTCTGGATCTTCCTTTTCTAATTTAGTGTGTAAGACTGAATAACGTGCTACATGACTCCACAGCTGGAACTGTGTGAATATAACCCAAAGCATCAAAGGCTGATGCATCATTACCTTGTTTCTTTGATGAAGACGAAGCCCACACATCCATGTTTTGCTTCTTCCTGTGATAGCTGGTGTCTTTATGGATATGAACCTGAGTCAGACAGACATGAAAGTCTCTGTATACAAGAGTGTGTGGAGGTGCACAACGACTTGGCTTTTGCTGAACACACACCTTAAAATGAGCCGCGTTGTTCTCCATTTGCCGTGCTCTTCCCTCTGCCGATGGTTCACCAGTGAACACCAGCTGCATGACAAGGACAGAAAGGAAGAACCATTGTTGCAGCAGCAAACTGGAAACAAACCACTGAGTACCCCCCACATCACCTTTTGGTAAAATGTGTCAAATGTACAGCAGCAAAGTGGGAAAGCTAATATAGACATTTTTGGAATTATGCTTTTTACTTTTTAGAAGAAAGTGAGATAGGAAGAGAATCTCAACCTCATACAAACAACACGTCGTGGCTTAAGCAGGAGATGCAGAGTTCATAAAACTAAACAGCACCAATGATTCCTTGACCATGAAAACGTCCCTCTGGCATTTGGAAACACATTAATATCAGTAGTAGTTTGAAAGTTATTGAAGAAAAATGATATTTCTATAATGGCACTTTTGTTCAGGGTCTAGCCAGGAAACTTTTGAAGATACATCAAATCTGTTGACACCTACTGAGGCAGCAGAGTTTCAGCTAGAATTTGATCTTGGTTGCAAGTCTGTAGCATTATGTGCCATCTCACAGTGGCCTGATATCTATAAATGTGGATACAGCAGAAATTTCTGGCACAAACAAAGGCAAACCAAAAAGTCCAGCAACACATGCAGTGTTTGGAGCAACTTTAATGTAAAGACGAAATGCGTTGTATACGAGTGCCGAGCTTTTTGTTTTGCAGCCCTCTAAATGTGAGCACGTGCACGCCGTGATCGTGAGCCCTGAACACAGAGACTTTAGGTTGATATCCATCTGACCATCTCACTCACAGCACAGCTGTTCCTTCACCTGTATGATATCAGCCAGCTTCTGCAGTCCACTGGTGTTCAGGAATATCCCAGATTCTGGCGAAAAACAGGCATCACACAAGTTAGTTATACGGTACACATTT